TGTTGTCCTTCCCCCACATCTCCGATTAGCATGGTTGGCTACGTACGATGCGAAATAAGTTTAACATCCATACATAAAGGTGATTTTGTACGTGTAATGACAGTAGAGCCTATATGCGCCGTGAGTGGACTAGTGGCCACGGGAGGTAATTACAGGGGTATCAGTTGTGAGTGCGAAGTGACTGGTGGCTACGAGAATTTTCGAGAAGAGAGCGTGGTCATGTGACGGAAGAGGACGGTGGAGTCTGCCGGTGGAGGGAGCGTCCAGAGTCAGCGAGAATGATCGAGAAGGGGGGCGTGGCTTCGTGTCGGTATAAAAGGGGGAGATGCACGGGAGACTCGGGGCTGTTGCAGTGGGGGTCTCCGCCTGATGTCAAGTGAACGTGTCTTCAATAAAGTGCCATCTCAAGAGAAGCGTGTCAAGTCGTCAATACATACGGAAGAAATAAAATCAGCGTGCACGAGTGTATCTCTCACATAAGTGGACTCCATCATCTTGGTCTCTGCCGCTGGTCATCCCGTTGGGCAGGTATATCTGGCCATCTGCTACCGGTACAATTACACGTCCGCCTCGAGTGGACGTGCCACCCAAAAGGTCCTCCTGGTCGCGTGGCTGTATTCATTGTCCGTCGGCATCATGGGCGTGATCATTCTGAGTGAAATGCGTTTCTGACAACGCATCAAGGTCCACTACATGTACCGTACGTAGTGAGCCGTGCTAATTGGATTCTAGATTTGAAGCTTTCGTGACTGCAAGGATTCATACTCTTAGGTTTTTTCGATAAAGTCACGTAGGTAAAAAATTAAATTTAAATTAATAAAAGTAATAATAGAAATAAAATAATAAATGACGACGTTTCGGAAGCAACACAAGTCTCCGTCATCAGGTGGAACCGTCACAGCTAGATTTACTGTGACGGTCCCACCTGATGACGAGGACTTGTGTTTATTATTTTATTTCTATTATTACTTTTATTAATTTAAATTTTATTTTTTACCTACGTGACTTTACCGAAAAAACCGAAGAGTATGTGCTAATTGGAGTTGCGGGGGAAGGGCAACAATTTGAACACAAAAAGCAGTTCTAAAGATTATTCGTTGTCACTCTAGATCAGGGGTGGGGAACCTTTTTTCTGCCAAGGGCCATTTGGATATTTACAACATCATCCGCGGGCCATACAACATTATCAACTTAAAAATTTGCCCGTTGTTATATTTGGTCAAACATTTAATTAACTCACCCCGAATGTGATGGCTGGAACTGCTTCTCTTTGGTGAGGCGTGTGATGTTAGCTGGTATTGACGACGTTGCTACTCGCAACTGCTTTTCCAGGTTTGCTCCTAGATTTATTGAATTTCGAGTCCCACCTGCGGTTGCCTTGGCAGGGCCACACCAAATGATTTCGCGGGCCTCATACGGCCCACGGGTCGGACGTTACCCACCCCTGGTCTAGATGATGCTTTAAAAGTGCATAGCTCCAATGGCGTCTTAATATCAGAAGGAAGAGCATTCCAGATGGCCACAGAATCGCTCCTAAAAGCGCGCGCGATGCGGTGACTGTCTTTGTTCGATGGTTAGCCAGAAGCCACCGCTGCTCAGATGACGTGAGTTCGCCTTCCCTGCTGTACAATGTCGTGCTCGAACAGTTTCGCCGTGAGCGTGCTGGGACTTGTTACCGTGATAATTTCCAGCGTGGTGCCAATCGCTCCTCATCATCATCACCGTCTGCAGGATGACCTCCGGAGTGCACGCTGTGCAGCGGTTAGACGCGAAGTACACCGACTTGTGCGTCACTGCCAAGCCTCTGTACACCGTCGTGCCCACCCGCTGTGGCGAGCACCGCCATCCACGCACTGTGGTTTAGGGAGCTGCGACATGAGACGGCCAAATACTGGAGAAGCGAAGTTAAACCTGACTTCGTCGATAGCAAACCTCCAAAAATTGCCGTGAAGGCAGATACTGCTGAAGGTAAAAAAAAAAATTGTATAATCATAGCCATAAGAGAGAAATGTGAGTGGCTTAGGGAAGCCTTCATCCAGCAGTGGATTGATCATGGCTGATTATTATGACAACATGGTTAAAGAAAGGTAATTCATGTTTGTGAACATTCTTTTTTTGTTCTCCGGTAAGTGGGTTTGGCAGGTCATGTCACCGGAAGTGATGATGGGCCGTGGTCGCGACTAACAACGGAGTGAAGGTAGAATCAGAATATGTATTTATACTGGAGGAACCCGATGAGCTATGAAGCCCTTTTTCGCAGATGTCCAGTCGGGGTGGGTCAGAATGAGAGAGTACGTCTGGGAGGAGGTGCAACATAGAGGTGGAGTGATGACATTAGCTCGTCTGCTGGAACCAGATGTGGGATGTTCCATCAAGTTGACGTGACAGATTGCTTTGGAAGGTCTTTGTCTGTCCATGGAAAGATCGTCGGTGATGGTCATGAGTAGATTTCAGTTACTCTTTGGTTCTTTCGGTAAAGTCACGTATAAAGATAAAATAATAAATTAAATAAAAGCATACGACGTTTCGTACTCATTGACATGTTAATATTTTCTCTAACCCCTCCCTCTCTCCGCGCCCGCCCCCCTCTGTCTATTTAAGGCCTCGCCACAGAGACGATCTCCCTCTCTGTGCCTATGTGTTACTCTCTCTCTATGTATCTTAGTGATATCTGTCTGCTTATATGTCTGTCTATAGTTTTCTGGTTATATTTTTGTTGCTATTTCATTTATACCTGATGATGATTGCTTGTGTTGCAATCGAAACGTCGTATGCTATTATTTAATTTATTATTTTATCTTTATACGTGACTTTACCGAAAGAACCAAAGAGTAATTCCTGCAGTCACGAAAGCTCCAACTTAAGATAGATTTCAGTTGTTGAAATAAAATTCAAGGCAAGGTGTCCCCTTGTCTTATGCAGCCACGTAATATGTACCGTTGCATGTAAATTAATCTCACAATTGCTGAAATCATCAGAATAGCATTGTCCCATTTATTCATGACAATCGGTTGGGGCAAACCAGCCTTCCTCTTGTGACCTCCAAATGAGCTAATCCTACTGCAGCCTGGCACTTGATCCTTATGGCAGTACCTCGGGGTACCAAATAATACAAACTGGCCTAGGCAATTAAATAATTTATTTCTGGGCCCACTATTTTTTTTCAGGGGTGTACTTAACTCCGCGACTGGGGTACCAATCAATCCGAAATCGGTGCCACACTGTGCGATGTCGAAACGCAGCGAGGACGATTGCGCCGAAACCCTGAACGCTCGAACGCACCGTAGCTGTGCATCGTGTCCAGCTCGTCGAGATGAGTCGATTGCCGCATCGCCGACCACCAACAGACTAAAAGTGATTGCATCACGGACATTATACGAGAGCCGGGGTACTATGGTAGCCACCAGCAGATGAGTCTTCATCAGTCTGTCATTCCCGGGCAATGGGCTCGTATTAAACCAAGAACCCATTTGGTTTTGGCGGAGTAATGGGATGAAGTTATTTATAGGGCTCCATTTCCAATCAGACCTACATACTGGCACATTTCAGATAACCGACTTGAAGATATGCATATAAATTAGAATTTGCAAGCTTGGGGCAGGGTAATAGCAGTGTGTATTGAGATTCAGATGTGTGCATCTGCACATGTGAGTCGCATTCATGCCGACATAATTCAAGGATTACCTCTTATCGCTTAGGAATTGACACAACACACTAAGTGTCTGTGTTTGTTATTTACATGGACAGGAGTTGTATTGAACGTATTTTTTTATTGTTAATTGCAAGGCCACATACAATGCGATAACATAGTTTTAAATACTAGGCATGTAATGAGGCATTGATTTCTTCATATTGCTGCATCATGTGTGACAATCGATTGTTTACAATTCATATGTGCACATGATATTGTTACGTTTAGACGAACTGAACCAACGAAACTGTACAAAGCATACACTAAAAAAAGCAATACAAATGAGGATTAAGTCAGACGCAAAGATTTTTTTCTTCTAATGCAATCGTGACCCCAGATAATGACGATGCATCACATTTCAAGGGTGGTACGGGTTTTTTTTTTACATTCTATTGCAAACTATATAAATACGCACAGGATTATTTTTTTGTTAATCAACCGACAATAATTGGATTGTGAATCGGATTGTAACTGAATAAAAGATAAACGGATCCAATTGCTGTGAGGCTGAATCATTGCATGCCTCTTAATTGACAAGATATCCCCGTACGTTTCTGCAATTACATTTTCCGATGGATGTTTTTTTTTTAAGTTTCATTTTGTTCAAGCCACCTTTTTTATTTCTCCTATAATGTGGTTGCTTTTGGTCTGATTCGCATTTGCTTCATTGGTGTACTAATGAGCAGAGTGAAGCTTTTGAAACTGCTAGGTTGTGCGATGTTCATAGCTAGAATATTTGGAAGGTCGAATTCGGTGCAGAGTTTTCTTGATGAAACACAATCTGCTGGATGATATTGGTCTGAACAGTCAATAGGTTGAAGGGCGATAACAATTTTAGTCATTTGTGGAGATACTCCATTTTCTACTTATCTTATTACAATAATACTCCACAATACATACATCAATGTGCGTCAATGATGTACTGCAGTCTTTAGGGGCCGTCCATAAATGACGTCACGCGATTTTGGACTATTTTTGATCCCCCCCCTCGTCACACGGCGTCACAAAAAGTCAGACCCCCCCTCAAATATGACGTCACAAAGCGCTGCCCGCCCCCCCCCACACCAAAAAAAAATAAAACATGCTTCAAATCGCTTTAAACGTTTGTCATTGTAGTGCGTATTTAATGTGGCGCTGCACTCTGATGTTGTAGGAGTGGTGTTATAGCAATTAGTGTTGTTATAACAATTCTATATTTATTTAAAGTTGCGCATTTTGATGTGACGTCACGTTTCTCAACCTCCCCCCTCCCTCGTCACACATCGTCACAAATGTCTAACCCCCCAGCCCCCTAGGTGCGTGACGTCATTTATGGACGGCCCCTTATGCAAATTTTTTTCACTCTTAAGGGATGCAGTACAACACATGGGGCAATCCTGTGGGTGGCAGTGAGCAGGGCCGCATTAACGCAGAGGTTTTTAGAGGCTACAGCTCAAGGCCACAAATATAAAAATGGTTGAAACACAACGCTGATGATACATCCTAATCCATAGCACCTGTCGGATTAATGCCAGAATATAAAAAGTAATATTTAAAATACTTTTTTAAAAACACGCTTTAATTAAATGTACCGTACTCGTAATGGCAGAACTCCACGACTCCAGGAAGTGGCCCCGAGGCTTGCCATAACGTAAGGGACCGTGGTGATTTACAGCCAACGTCAGTTGAGCGTGGACAATTAGACCCAAGCCGAAACACAACATATAAAAAAGATGGTTTTACATTTTTTTAATTTTAATGATAGAATATAGTATTGTCATCAGGATGACATAAGTATACCAAGTTTGCAGTCGATACCACATTGGGAAGGAGGTTAAAATTGAGTTACAAGATTTGAGGATACGACAACAACAACAACAGAGTGAGCTAAATACAAGCGAGTAAAAAAAAGGCTTTGTTAATGTTCACTTTGATTTAGCTTTACAATTAGTATACCACATTTTAAGTTAGAACTGAACAAAAAACCAAGGTGAATGACAATAGAGAGTGTGGAATGGGGCATGGGTGGTGGTAAAATGGTAGAGGGATGGTATGCACTATGCAAACGAAAACGATAAGGGCACTAGGCCCTCAGCAAACTCTTTAAAACTTTTTAAAATTTTACCAGGTAAGGCCCACTGAGCTACTGTACATAGCATTTTCTCAGAAGCGACTGAGCACAAATGATAGCTCAACGAAGTGGCTTATCACGTCGAAATGTATCGCAGCCAAATACTCTAAACACACGTTGATTCCGCATGTGAAGGGAAAAACAGGAGGACCCAGAGAAAATCCACATGGAGAGGGAACGTGCAAACTCCAAATATACAGCAAGCGTCGTGGTCGGGATCGAACCCACGAACCTCGTGCATACCAGGCGATGGAGTGAACATCTCGCCATGGTGGTCTAGAGGGCGGTGAGGGCATCTCCGTTGTACTGGGTCGTAACGCTGATCGCTGTGGGGAGTCCGTCTGCGGGGTGATCGGTGGCCTCTGAATCAAGACCTCTTCTCTGCCTAGGCACAGCCAAGCAGAAAACACGGTTCGTTATTATATATTGTGCAGTTATATGGGAAGTTATAGGTTAAATCTTGAAATGTAATAATAGACGAAAAATGGTGAAAATGTAATAATGGGTTCAATGGGATATTTTTATTTGATCAACTTGCTCCATTTTCTTCATACCGTTTACAATGCAACTGCTCCAATTATCACCAGAACCCGATCCAATCATATACTCGCTTGGAGAGCAGTGTTAATTTTGTCAACATTATTTATTATCCATCGCCTCACGACGTGATTTAAGAATCCTGAAGTGGCCCTGACAGTGTGATTAACATCTGGGGTCGATGCTTGGATGCTTTCGTGGTTGACCAGGTTAGGGATGGCGATGACCTAGGAATCGCTGCTTATTCTGAAGCAGCGGTAATTAAAATTTTGATTTAAAGCTTTCGTGACTGCAGGGATTCATATTCTTGGTTCTTTCGGTAAAGTCCCTTTACGTGACTTTACCTAGCGGTAATTTAGTTTACGCTTTTTTATTTTATTATAGCCATTTTATTAGGCCAGTCGACTAAAGCAAAAAATGTAGTTTGTTCACTCTTAGCCCCTTTAACTATTATCAGATCAACCAATTAATGAACTCAGTAAATAATTTTATATCCTGTTCATGTATATAAATTTACCATTTTCGGTATACCTCAGTGCACTGCGGTTTCCCATCATAAATGACCTTCGTTCTGCGTCACGAATGAGACCAATTATTTTTGTTTCGTCATTCATACATCGGTCTTAGGGCTTAGGGGTCGTCTTCATCACCGTCTTGCTTTCGATGATTTTCGACCACCCCTAGTCATTGTCGACTTCAAACGAAAAAACACAATTGACAAATATAATTTCACGAATGATTACGCATTGGTGGCCAGTGCTTGACACCCCCCCGCCCCGACTCACCTCACCCATCGGTCCCGCACTTGCCCACCGTCATTATTATCACGAGGACCTGGAGGGTCAACCCTCGCTCACCTGTATCGCTTGCGCCACGCGTCCACGAAGAGGGCCATCATTGCCAGGAAGGAAACGCCGCTCACGACGCCGTAGGCCACGAGCCACGTGTCCTTGAACGCGGAGCGCGTCGGAGCCAGCGTCGGCTTGATGCCCACGAACTCCAGCGTCCTCACGTCCAGCATGAAGGCCCGGTTCATGCGTGGGCGCGACAACCTTCAAGGCCAGGGGATTGGTGTCACTGGTCACTGTTGGAGTGGAGTGCGTTGCGTACGTTGAACTTCTTTCGCACCGTACGTGACCGACCGTGCTAATCGGAGGCGTGGGAGTGTGTCGGGCAATGTCCTGCTGGCGCGAGGTCACCTAACACTTAACCCATTCATCAATAACACTGCCCTTACGGAAGACTAAATACACGATAGGCAACATTTCAGGCAATGCACCTTCTTCTTGACTGGCATGCCACCTATCGTTGTATCCTCCAGGTTACAAAAAACACCGTTTCCCCCCCTATACAGTATTCTAAAGTAGAAGTTAGGGTGCGTCTTATAATCTGGGAGGTGTTTACGAGTTGCCTCTTATATTCCGGGGCATCTTATAAGCTGAGGATTATGGCACAGTAAAACCCCCGGCTACCCAGAACCGGGAGGCGAACAAAACACGTATTTTAAAATTCATTAAGAATGCAAGAAAGTAGTCGGTATAATAAGACATCCGATACACTTTCGAATAAGTTACATAACATGAAATGTATAGCATGCGCTGGGACATGTTCAATCGTGTACATCATTTGGCCACACAGCGTTGGCGGTGTGCACGACAGCACAAAAAAAACGATACGACGCATTCGTCAATTTTCTCTTTCAAGGCAGTATTACTGACGGTAGCTGTTCAATATGTATGTGCCTAAGTAACAGTATTGGGGGGGGGGGGGAGCGAACGTCGAACTGGAATGGAGATTGGGGGGGGTGGGAGTTTGTATCATGATGAAATTGAGAAATAAAGAGTGTACACACACACAAGACACGGGGAGCGACTCGGCATGCTTTAGTAGCACATGGGTCAGCAACTAATATAACACGAGTCCATTTTTGCGAATTTGGTACCAAAAAAAAAAACTCTATGTTTCAAGATCCGCAATGCAAGTGGTGAATACGAGACGGCGGTGGTCCTTGACGAATAAAGTCACGTAGCAGCGGTCCTTAAAAAAGCCGAATGCAGCTCCCAGAGCCGCAGGCTGCAGACCGCTGCTTTTCGTACAATAACGAGGGGTGGAAATCTTGCAGAACGAGTCAAACAAACAGAAAGGGGGGGGGGGGTGATGATTTCGGACCCAGGAACGCAACCCCATTGCTTCCCATTAGGTGATATTATTTGCAGAACGCGGTATTTTGCTCGACGCGGCATTTTCCCATGAGCGTAACCCCCCCATCCTCTCCCAGCGGTCGGCCTCGGTTCTAAAGCCCGTGCCACGTTCTTCATTCTCCAGACCAGCGCGATTGACGCATCGCTTGTGCGCCACTGCCAACGCTGCATCGCGCACGAGCGGTCAATTTGTTGTCTAAAAAGAGCGACGTGGGGCGTGCCGGGGGTGGACACTGACCTGACGGCACGCACCAGCTGCTGCTTCTCCACCAGGGTACTCGTCCGGTTCGGATTCATCACCGCGAAGTAGAATGAGATTCTCTCCGTCTTGGCGCAGACGATCACGTGCTCGGTCCTGCTCGGGCAACGTGGTCGGGTCGCATATCATTGGTGAAGATGAACAAGTTTTTATTTGTCTTCGTAAAAAAAAACAATTATATCTCAGTTGTGCTGTCAAATGTCATGAGAAAAGAGCTCGGATGCGTTATTTGTTTGGTTTTTAGTTCTGCACGTGTGATTCCTCACCCCCCCCCCCTCAATTTCTTCAGAATCAGAATCTTTATCAGATTATACTGGTAGGAACCTCCTGGTTACACCAGCCCACAGGGGATTATTGTGTCCGTCCGTCGTGCATCCAAAAATGGGAAGGGTGGCGCTGGGTGGAGAGGGGAGGGTGGGGAGGGGCTGGGTGGGGAGGGTGGAGAGGGGCTGGGTGGGGAGGGTGGGAGGGGCTGGGTGGGGAGGGGTGGGGCTGGGTGTGGATGGGCTGGCCACCCCGTGGTGCCCTTATAAAACTCAACGTTTAACCTACTCACGCCAGCTTGTGCCCGCCCTCACAGTCGGGCATATTTGCGGGATACACCACGCCGCCGTTGACCCTGGCCACTGACCGAGCAACCCAACGTTCCTAGCAGCTCCCTCCGCAGGAGGAATGTGTTTTATTTAGACTGGAGCAATCCTATGAGCTATCGAGCTCGTTTTCACAGATGTCCAGCAAAGGCGGGTGAGAAAGTTACAACAACATAACAAAAACATTTTATATTTCAATCGTGCCATCAGTTGTGTCATCGACATCATGGGAGAACAATTAATTTGGATCTCTCATGAAGCAGTGCAAGGTCACGGCCGATGGAAGCAGATATCACTTAAATACATCTAAAATCCATTCAAGTGCCCTACAAGGATGCAGCATTCTAACGCAGCAGCGCCTTTTTGCGAGCTCAAGGCGATGGGGAAGTATCCGTGGGCTGCGTGCGTCGCTCACGTGAAGGCGGAGTGCTGCTCGGGGCTTTTACGCATCGCGTAGGCGACGGCGCTTCGGAAGAGAAAGAGCTCCGAGTCGTCCCACACATACTGGCAGCGTGGGCATGCGAGGGGTGGACACAAGAAAAACAAAAACCGTTTAGGTGAATAGGATTATTATTTTTTTTATCAAACTTAATTTTTTTTTATTCTTAATACTGACAAAAAGTCACCTGACTCCCTGCATACGAGCTAAACTCCGATTTAAAGCTTTCGTGACTGCAGGGATTAATCTTCTTGGTTCTTTCGGTAAAGTCACGTAGAAGGGAAATAATAAAATAATAAAAATAAAACATAAAATAATTCTCACGACGTTTCGGCCACAACGCAAGCAGCCGTCCTCAGGTGCTGCGTTGTGGCCGAAACGTCGTAAGAATTATTTTATGATGTTTTATTTGTATTATTTTATTATTTCCCTTCTACGTGACTTTACCGAAAGAACCAAGAAGATGCGCTAAACTCGTCACTCCATCTCTCGACAGTGGCTGCTGTCCTTTTGGCTCGCTCTGCTTCTACGTTGGTCACTCTTATGGGTTCAAAGACCCTCATCCGAATTTCCCGGCCCCTCCTCACCAAGGCGAGAAGGCCTCAGCAGTCGTCCCCTGGACATCGAAGCCCTCAACTTACTCACCGTTGTCTCCCCTCGAACCGAGACTGCCCCCCCCCCACCCTGGCAGATCGCCGCGTCTCCCTGGCATTGCTCCAATCGTTTGGCATTGAATCCCGCTACGCCTACATTATTATTACGTATCGCTTTGGTACTCTTGCTGACTGCTGGCTGAGTCACCCTTGAAGAATGAGCTGTGCAGCTCACAATGGGTTATTTACTCGGATAATAAACTTCACATTCTGATGCCTCCCGCGCACCTCCGATTAGCACGGCAGGCTATGTACGGCGCGAAAGAAGTCCTACGTGCATATATGGCCAGCGGTAGCATCCACCGCCACTCTTAAGAGATAATTGGAGGCTTCTCATCGGTTCCGTCGGGCGTATGAAGATAAACCCTGAGCTGATCTCCGCGCCTCTAAGTCACGAGAGGAAATTTGGACTTTTCGCGAAAATGTATGCGTTACATATTATTATTTTTGTTATTGTGACAATTAAAATGCCGTTTATTCGCCAAGGTCCTTCACAACGGCATTGGTGTATATTTTCCAAAGACACTAATTGATTAACTCAAGGCATAAACGTCAGCTCAGAGAACGTATTAGCCATCTCAGATATGCTCACAACATAGTCATTATAACAACCGATGAAAACGAATCGCAGGCAATGATTTAATAACTTTCCAAAACTAGGCCGTACACGGTTCCATTCAAGTAAAAGAAAAACAAACGCCACGTAAAGCACATAGTTTCCCAAACGAACATCAAATATCTATCGGGAGAGACGCAATTGGAAAAAAGATGGCATCAAAGATAAATAACCACATTTTCATGACTAAATAGGCAAGCTTACATGAATCCGCACAGCATACAAACGTGTATTTATGGATATATGCAGTGTATGTTGAACTTCTTTCACACCGTACGTAGCCAACCGTGCTAATTGGAGGTGCTGGGGAAGGACAACAAACTTAACACAAAAAGCCGCTTTAAAGAAATTAGTTTTCAACCGAGATTGAAAAGTACATAGCTCCCTCTTAGGTTTTTTTCCGGTAAAGTCACGTAGGTAAAAAATAATAATAAAATAATAATAAATGTGATTTCATTGAGTAATTTTCATGTATTATTATTATTATTTTATTATTCTTTTTTACCTACGTGACTTTACCGAAATAAACCCTAAGAGTATGAATCCTTGCAGTCACGCAAGCTTCAAATCTAGAATTACATAGCTATATTCTTAGGTTTTTTCGGTAAAGTCACGTAGGTAAAAAATTAAAATTTTAATTAATAAAAGTAAAATAAAAATAAAATAAAAATAAAAATCACGACGGAAGCTTGTGTTGCCTTCGAAACGTCGTGATTTTAATTTTTATTTCATTTTTATTTTACTTTTATTAATTTTAACTTTAATTTTTTACCTACGTGACTTTACCGAAAAAAAACCTAAGAGTATGAATCCTTGCAGTCACGCAAGCTTCAAATCTAGAATGACATAGCTCCCAGTGGCTTCTTTATATCAGAAGGAACAGTGTTCCAGAAGGCGGCAGAAGTACGTGATCATATATGAAGAGATCCAGGCGTTTAATCACAAGGTGTGTTGATATGGGAATGGAAAATGGCTTAATGTCTTAAGGGAGAATTATTTGCGTGTATGTTTAGGGTAAATGTTCGATTTCTTCTTGATTCAATCATTACATTTCTTTCGCTGAGAAGGTTTAGCATGGCACTGTGTTAATCGTTAAGTGTCCGAGTTAAACACCACCGCGTTCATTTAGACTCTGAGCCGCAGTCCACATGCACGGTGCTGCCGAATTCCTCGAGTCTTCTTCTTCCGTGTCGCCTGCTGATGTAGACGCAATGCAACAACTACAATTTCACGTGCCAATGGTCGAGCCAGACAACCGTGTTGGCAGCAGCGGAATAGTGTGTCGCTTGCGATGTCTCCGTCGTATTTGTGGATAGGGCGCTGGGTTGCTTTACGTCGTACGGTCTGTTCTGTATCACCGCAGTCGCTGATTCCTGGAGAGTTATTACTTTTACATTTGTTGCATCAGGTAACCGCATCTGCCATGGTTTGTGCAGTGGACCATGAGCTTCGTGGAAGGTCAAACTCAGGCATCTACTGTGTTGGGTTTTTCACATGGCGTATGTGCGAAACTCACCGCATTCTCACCCAGCTGCTTCTTCAGACTGATCCTCACCTTAACACTTTCATCTGTGATGTAATCACGCGGACCACACACACAAAGACAATGATCCATAGATACGGCTTAACAGACTATTGGGATACACACAGGGTTATTATATGGCACTCGTGTGGGTGGCATGGTCAACAGTCATTCCCGGCCGCATTCGTCTTCCCAGTGCTGATATTCACATGCCACACCGGGCGCAGTACTCAGTTGCGGTGAAGGATAAAGTTTGACCGAAAGGGTGGTGGCCTTTGACCTTTAAATCCCAAATTCTGAGACGCTAAGCAGAGTTGAATTTGGATCGTGAGTTAGTCGTGCGGGACCCCCACCATAGCAAACAGCTTGTCATGTAGCCTGTGGGGAAGCATGGTAGGCAGCAGAGGACAGCACAGCAACATCCACTATTGTACTGTACCGTATAGGCTCCCGTATCATCCGCATTGTAAAATTTGGTCAAATAATCTCCTTACTGGGACGGGTACCCCTCATCCAGCAGTGGATTGATAAAGGGCTGTCCTCGTGACCTTGAAGGAAGCGCATCGTCGGGAATTGAAGCCCGGATGGAAATAAATGTAGCACTGATTACGGTCCACTGCATTACTGCTGCCCACCGGTACGCAGCCATGGAAGCTGGCATACCCATTCATGATTTAAACTCGTGACCTGCACAGTATCGGCAGGCAAGTGAGACAGGCAGCCAGACGGCGAGCCAGCGCCAAATTCTCCCCCACCAAGCTCTGCGGTCCCCTATATATCAAGGTGTTTATCGGCCAATGTAATGCACGCGTGTTTATGCACGTGGGAAGAAAACGGAGCACCCGGAGAATAACCACCCACGCATGCGAGGGGGCAACACTGTATCCCATACAGATGGAACAGGTGGGTCCCCCATTGGCTGTTCTGCCTGTTGGCAAGCCAGGGTACGGCTCTTTCTCGACGTCCACACAGGTCAGGAGTTTCACATTGAAATAAAAAAATGTGTGTCATTCACCAACCCTCGCCGCCTCCACAAGTCTGGATCAGCACCACGCACGGCCCACTTTGTCCCCCCCAAACACGGACGTTGACGCACCGTGCCCAGGCACTGGTTAGGCGAGAGATGACTAAGGGAATGCACCCGGGACTGGCTCGGATATTCACTACCGATGTCAGCAGTGGCCAGGAATCAACGTCCAGGTAAGGGCAGTGTGCTCACCACTACGCCACCGCGGAACCCCGCAAGTAGAGATAAAGACAAAGATCCCACAAGTGTCCTACGTAGACTGTTGGGGCAAGTGGGAAGAAACACCGCGCATCTCCCGAGACGAATTGGAATTGCACGCATACTCTGTGCGCACATTAAGCTAATCACGTCCACTAACTACTTGGCGATGGTAGATGTTGTTGTTGTTGTTTTTACAACGCTGCCAGTTGTGTGTGTTGTGCCAATTAATTGTACAATGAACCCTTGGGTGTACGTGTGTGCGCACATCACCTTTACAGATATTGCCACACATGGGACCATCAGTCTCATTGAAGAACGATGCACATTGCTGAAAAATAAAGGTGAATAACAACAAAAAATTGCAAAGCAAGCGGACGCATTAATATACGCGCGTATATTGTTGCATATCCAACCGCGCCTCCGATTCGCACGGTTGGCTACAAACGATGCGAAAGAATATGAATTTTGATTTGAAGCTTTCGTAACTGCTGAAATCCATACTCTTTGGTTCTTTCGGTAAAGTCACGTAGGTAGAAAAAATAAAAGATCACGACGTTTCGATCGCCGCACAAGCAATCGTTCTCAGTTGGGGACTTTACCGAAAGAACCAAAGAGTATGGATGCGAAAGATGTTCAACGCACGTATATACATATCACGTGACCTTTTTTTGCCAACAACAGATTATGAAAAATAATAATAGGTTTTACCCTTTCTGGCAATAAAACATGTGGTTAAGATGTAAAGTCACGTAGGTAAAAAATAAAATAAAAATAAATTAAATCACGACGTTTCAGAGGCAACACAAGCTTGTGTGAAGCTTTCGTAACTGCTGGAATCCATACTCTTTGGTTCTTTCGGTAAAGCCACGTAGGTAGAAAAAATAAAAGATCACGACGTTTCGATCGCCGCACAAGTAATCGTCCTGTTCGACGTTTGTCGTACTCTGGTCTGCCACTGGTGAGACTAGGTCATAAAGAAAGCAGTCTTTGGTGTAGGCCAATCAGTCCCAAAGACAATGCCATTGTATTATCAGAGTTTGTTTTGTTTGCATGTTCACCACAAATACGTGTTGTTAATAAAGGCTTCCTAACCAGGCACCAGAGGAAGGCGTAAACTGAGTCCTGGCTTTCAAAAACCCACACAGCGAGAAAAAAATGTGCGACGCACGTGTTCATTTGAACATGATAAAACAATGGAGGATGCTGTAGGGCAAGGCCTTAATTATAACATATATTGGGGGGGGGCACATCCCCCCCCCCCAATATTCAAATATGCTCAAAATGTCCCCCCCCCCCAATATATTTCTATAAAAATGTTTTTAAAAATAATAATTTCTATGCTATGTAAATAAAAACAATTTGCTCAACCTTGGCCACAATATCTGGACTTGTCTTCATATAACAATGCATCGATTTCTGTTCATATGATTGTGGTTATGTTTGTACTTTATTAATCCCTAATCTCTGCCATTACATACAATGAAACAAGAAAAGGTTAAAAAGTAAAAACAGAGCAATGTAATACAATACACTATTAGACATTATTGTAACAAATAAATGAAAAGTCCATCCCATGTGTTAGTGAATGTTTTTATATTTTAGGAAGGAAATTAGTTTTCAATTTTAGGATTTTTTTCTCGGGGGGGGACCCCTAGACCCCCTGGAAGATTTGGTCCCCCCCAATGTTGACTCCACGGCTACAACCTTGCTGTAGGGTGCTGTTTGTGGGGGGCGGGAGAGGTGGAACCATGATCCACACGCTCCAGCAATGAAATTCCCTGCCGTAAGTAACATCAGTGGCGAGTGTTTAACTGACAAGGTGCTGACCACCGCAATGGCCAGACGTCTTCCACAATGGCCAAATTTGTTGGACTAGGTGGGTGGACGTACCTACTACACTTTACCCCACCGCAATCGTCTTTGGCGATCCACATTTATACGGCTGTGCGGAGAGAGAGAACGCGCGGATTTAGGATGCCCCCCCCCCCCCCTGTTGCTTCAACTGCCCCGACAGGTGATCGAGCCGGCGACTTCTACAACGGGAGTCTTGACGCGCTAACCACGACAACCACGGCCACCGCACCACAACGGCAAACGGTGCCGGCGTCAATTGGCAAAGTGGGTGACGCATTTGGTCGTAATGTGATGAGTCGGTTGGCTACGTACGGGTGCGAAAAACGTCCAACAACGGGGGCGCGCGTTGGCGGATCGCATCGGTGACTTACCGAGCTCACGCGAAGACTCAGAGCAGCCAGCACGAGGCAATTCGCGAGCAGGCGCAAGCGGAGGCCACCCATTGGGGCTGGCCGCGAAACGTCTCGCTAATTCGCAAGAAACGGGGCGCCTCGACGCCGTGATGTGAAACCCGCCCGTGCTTGGTAGTATTTACCCCGCAAATGCGCACACGCACACGCGGCTTTCCCTTGGCATATCTTTACTGATAAAAAAAAACTAACTCTCCAATGTTCTACTCTCAGTGTTATTCATTTACAAATAGTTAAGCCCGCACCAGCACTTTTTTGTTACGCGCTGGCTACTAATGATGTTCTCGCGCATGGCAGCAGCGTGGGCTCAGGAGCTAAATGCAAATGTGGAGGTGTGCCGCTGATGGCCGCGACGAGAGGGCATCGGGAGAGAGACTTTTGACTTTTAAACAACTTGTATTGCCGCCAGCAGCAACAGCACTGGAGGCGATTCTGATATGAAATACACAGTCACCAGCAAACAAATAAACGCTATAAATCCACGCGCTGTGGCGCTAAATGCACCGTGCACAACACAAAAGAAAAGTCACGTGGTGGTGGTGATCATCGCGCACGCCACGGTGACGAGCAAGCGCTTCAGAAGGTGAACACCACGAGGGTGCCGTCCACGCTGGTACAGAGAGGGGCTTGTCCGGCTCCCCAGCGTTCGAAGAAGACGCGCACATCACCGACATGTGTGTGGTACGCGTGCTCCAGCCGGAGCCGCGCCTTGAGCAGGCCCCTGAACACTGGAAGCACAGAGCAGCCGTCAGTGTCATCTTCCAGCATCGTTTTTCTCGTTATGTACACCACCAACTTCGCCTGAGCACAGGCGAAGTTGGTGAGAGAGAGAGAGGGAGTTCGTGTCGTTTTGCTGTTCCTCCTCCGTTAAAGGAGATCCACGCTACAGTCGTTTTTACGAGAAGGTTTGATGAGTGGCGATAACACCGCACGTGTAGATCGTCATCCTTGTCTCTGGCCAGACGTTTCGCACGAGGTGGCAGGACAAGTACCCACAGCCCCGCGCTCCCGGTTGCAAACCTGTCAACCCCCCATCAGTGCCCTAACCTTGTTATAGACGAATTCAGACCTTAATGCTCACCCCGTGCCTTTGTAAATCTCAAGGTTCATCCTACAAAGTCCCATCACAAGGGAGAGACACAAACTAATAGACAAAATAGATGCCCGTATTGAAACGGCTGTACGTCATATGAAGCTGAAACTACTCAATTTCCCTGTTGCAATAATACGGGGAAGCCATCTGGGTTGGCAGCTAATGCGGTTGGAGGATGCAGGCCACGCTCTTGCGCGGCCGCTTCCACCGGCTATTACATATTTGTTTTTATTTGCATGGGGGGCCGTCCATAAATAATGTCACGCACCTAGAGAGGGGGGGGGTCAGACATTTGTGACGATGGGGGGGGGGGGCGGTTGAGAAATGTGACGTTACGTAAAAATGAGCAACTTTAAATAAATATAGACAACACGTTCTACTTAAATTTCGATTTAAAGCTTTCGTGACTGCAGGGATTCATCTTCTTGGTTCTTTCGGCAAAGTCACGTAGAAGGAAAATAATAAAATAATAAAAATAAAACATAATAAAATACAATTAAGGCGCTCTTCTCCTCCCACCCAGCTTAAAATACGCTGCCAAGCTTAGCAGTGTTCATTGGAGCGCTGTCTTTCAGATGGCTCTGTCTTCACCTGAGGACGGCTGCTTGTGTTGTGGCCGAAAAGTCGTGAGAATTAAATTGTATTATGTTTTATTTTTATTATTTCCCTTCTACGTGACTTTACCGAAAGAACCAAGAAGACGTTCTACTTAATTAAATATACTTTTAATAAATGTTTTCTCCTGCAACATCAAAGGCAGCGCCACATTAAATACGCACTACAATGACAATAGTTTAAAGCGTTTTGAAGCATGTTCTATTTTGGGGGGGGGGGGGCAGAGCTTTGTGACGTCATATTTGAGGGGGGGTCTGACTTTTTGTGACGCCGTGTGACGAAAGGGGGGGGGGAGTCAAAAATTGTCCAAAATCGCGTGACGTCATTTATGGACGGCCCCATACTAGCAGTAAATACCCGGCGTTGCCCGGGTACCTGCTAAATCACTGCTAACAATCATCATCAGCAGCAGCAGCAGCAGCAATTGTTATGAGCAGTTAGCGTCTTCACGAATTGCATTATCACCGTCTGCAACTCACATCGTAGCAACATTTTCAGTGTTAGTATTAGCGTCACCGTTATCATCAGTAACAGTTTGATCATTATCAACACAGCGGTAGTATGTTCACAGGTTTCCTAAGCAGTATATATTCATTGTGAATATCAGCAGTAGCACTTCTTTAAAATGAATATATTTCGAAACAAATTAATAACGTACACGTGTTAGCATACTCACAAACTCTCACACGTTTGCAGACATCCGCACAATCACGCATCTACTCACGCAATCACACACACCACAGTCATGCAATTAAACCAGCATGAAAGCATTGAAAATAATGGAGAAGTTAATCGGCACAGACAGGCAGACAATACCGCATGTCTTGCGTTAGAAACGTCGTGGGTTTTTTGTTTTTTTTATTATTTTAAATTTATGATGGCAAAAAATAAAGTTTATTTTATTTTTTTCTATTTTCTATCTACGTGACTTTACCGAAAGAACCAAGATTTTTTGTTTGTAAGTCCGATGTTTTTTTTCTTTTCATTAACGTTTCTATTCTGTGCTAGGGTATTTTATTACATTTACCCGAAGCCTTTCCGATTGTTGACACATTTGTTGAGGTCTGTGATACCCTAATCCCCTCCCTCCCGTCCTTGCAGCACGTTCATTCTCTCTCACTCACTCACTCACGTGTTAGTCATTCTCTCGTTCATTCTCACTCACTCACTCCCGTGTTATTCATTCTCACTCACTCACTCACGTGTTAGTCATTCTCTCGTTCATTCTCACTCACTCACGTGTTAGTCATTCTCACTCACTCACTCACGTGTTAGTCATTCTCTCTCACTCACTCACTCACGTGTTAGTCATTCTCACTCACTCACTCACTCCCGTGTTAGTCATTCTCTCTCACTCACTCACGTGTTAGTCATTCTCTCTCACTCATTCACTCACGTGTTAGTCATTCTCTCTCACTCACTCACGTGTTAGTCATTCTCTCTCACTCACTCACTCCCGTGTTAGTCATTCTCTCTCACTCACTCACGTGTTAGTCATTCTCTCTCACTCACTCACTCACGTGTTAGTCATTCTCTCTCACTCACTCACTCACGTGTTAGTCATTCTCTCTCACTCACTCACTCCCGTTAGTCATTCTCTCTCACTCACTCACTCCCGTTAGTCATTCTCTCTCACTCACTCACTCCCGTGTTAGTCATTTTCTCTCACTCACTCACGTGTTAGTCATTCTCTCTCACTCACTCACGTGTTAGTCATTCTCTCTCACTCACTCACTCCCGTTAGTCATTCTCTCTCACTCACTCACGTGTTAGTCATTCTCTCTCACTCACTCACGTGTTAGTCATTCTCTCTCACTCACTCACGTGTTAGTCATTCTCTCTTACTCACTCACTCACGTGTTAGTCATTCTCTCTCACTCACTCACTCCCGTTAGTCATTCTCTCTCACTCACTCACTCCCGTTAGTCATTCTCTCTCACTCACTCACTCCCGTGTTAGTCATTTTCTCTCACTCACTCACGTGTTAGTCATTCTCTCTCACTCACTCACGTGTTAGTCATTCTCTCTCACTCATTCACTCCCGTTAGTCATTCTCTCTCACTCACTCACTCACTCACGTGTTAGTCATTCTCTCTCACTCACTCACTCCCGTTAGTCATTCTCTCTCACTCACTCACTCCCGTTAGTCATTCTCTCTCACTCACTCACTCACTCCCGTGTTAGTCATTTTCTCTCACTCACTCACGTGTTAGTCATTCTCTCTCACTCACTCACTCCCGTTAGTCATTCTCTCTCACTCACTCACTCCCGTGTTAGTCATTCTCTCTCACTCACTCACGTGTTAGTCATTCTCTCTCACTCACTCACGTGTTAGTCATTCTCTCTCACTCACTCACGTGTTAGTCATTCTCACTCACTCACTCACGTGTTAGTCATTCTCACTCACTCACTCACGTGTTAGTCATTCTCTCTCACTCACTCACTCACGTGTTAGTCCTTCTCTCTCACTCACTCACGTGTTAGTCATTCTCACTCACTCACTCACGTGTTAGTCATTCTCTCTCACTCACTCACGTGTTAGTCATTCTCACTCACTCACTCACGTGTTAGTCATTCTCACTCACTCACTCACGTGTTAGTCATTCTCACTCACTCACTCACGTGTTAGTCATTCTCACTCACTCACTCACGTGTTAGTCATTCTCACTCACTCACTCACTCACGTGTTAGTCATTCTCACTCACTCACTCACGTGTTAGTCATTCTCACTCACTCACTCACGTGTTAGTCATTCTCACTCACTCACTCACGTGTTAGTCATTCTCACTCACTCACTCACTCACGTGTTAGTCATTCTCACTCACTCACTCACTCACGTGTTAGTCATTCTCACTCACTCACTCACGTGTTAGTCATTCTCACTCACTCACTCACTCACGTGTTAGTCATTCTCACTCACTCACTCACTCACGTGTTAGTCATTCTCACTCACTCACTCACTCACGTGTTAGTCATTCACTCACATCACTCACTCACGTGTTAGCATCTCACTCACTCACTCACTCACGTGTTAGTCATTCTCACTCACTCACTCACGTGTAGTCATTCTCTCTCACTCACTCACTCACGTGTTAGTCCTTCTCTCTCACTCACTCACGTGTTAGTCATTCTCACTCACTCACTCACTCACGTGGTTAGTCATTCTCTCTCACTCACTCACGTGTTAGTCATTCTCACTCACTCACTCACGTGTTTAGTCATTCTCACTCACTCACTCACGTGTTAGTCATTCTCTCTCACTCACTCACGTGTTAGTCATTCTCACTCACTCACTCACTCACGTGTAGTCATTCTCTCTCACTCACTCACGTGTTAGTCCATTCTCACTCACTCCACCACTCACTCACGTGTTAGTCATTCTCACTCATTCACTCACTCACGTGTTAGTCATTCTCTCTCACTCACTCACGTGTTAGTCATTCCTCACTC